GGAGCTCACTCGAAGTAATAAACACAATAAAATCCAACAAGAAGGGGGGACTAGGGGCGCCTTAGCGGCGCTAGGCACACCTTATCGCCGCTAGGCTTGGGGCAGCAGTAAATTTGGCAGCATTTCCTTTGTTTTACCTCCTTCCAAGTGCATAAGCACTTATCCTCAATCAATCCAAGCAACACCACATTTTACACATATGTGTGCTAGTTTGTTTGGTTTAATTGGTTGATGCTTTTGAGGGTTGTCCATTGTGTAGATATTGAAATCAGGCGTCTTTATGACTTATGCTCCTTTGATTTATTTATTTTCTCAACGGAAAAAATATAGTAATAAACCTAATTAGTCGATAGGCACGTTGTTGGACTGACATACACACGTTGTTGGACTGACATACTAGTTGAAACGACTGTAGCCTAGAAGCTACTAAAAAATGCACCCACAAAACTTAACAACTGGTAGAACTAGAATACACTACTCCTTCTAGTAAATAATACTAACTTCCAACTAGAAGAATACACCAAACACACAACCTAAACACAAATACAACACAAGCTACTAAACTAAAGCCTTCCTCACCATCAGAACCAATTCCAAACAACCACAAATGGAACCAACCCCAAGATAATCAAAACAAGGATAGATCCACGACCCACGACCCAAGCAAGATCGAGAAACTCCCTCTACCCTGCGGCTAACTTGACACGAGTTGAAGCACCCAAAATGTTGGTATGGCTCATATATTGACAAAGGAAGAGGGCAGGCTGATGCCTGCTCGCTCCACTCCGCTCACTTCGCTCGGTCGCGTACGGTACAGGGTATTTAAGTAAATTTATACCTTGTAGGGTTTTAGTATAAATACATGGTGTATTGATGTATTTGATACGATTGAGAATAATAAAAGATCCCTCAGCCGCCGTGGACGTAGGCATATTGCCGAACCACGTAAATCTTGTGTTTTTTACTTTTCTTGTTTTTAATTCGTGTGTCATATTGTCATCTTCTCTCAACACAAAACCAGCCCAAGATTCAAAACCATAGACCACCCCAGGAAACCCGCACCACTGTACACCCCCACCTTCAGTCGCAGCCAGAAGAGTCGCGCCCATCGGACGAACCCATGTTCCAGCACCAGGAACATCGAATCCGGGTGCTGCGCCAGCCTCAACACCGACAAAAAAGCAATGCCAAACCAGCAACCAAACTCGATGCCGGCAAGACGATGCCCTGCAACTGCCAACCGTCATGGCAAGACGACGACGCCCTCCAGCTGCCGACACCAACCCAACTGGCTCAGATATTTTTTCAATCACTTATAGCTATTATCTTACTGTTTCCATATCACATCAACTTTAACTATTATATTATAATTCACGTTCACTCACAAACTCAAAACATAAATTTCAATTTACGCCAAATTAATATTTTTCAACCTTAATTCATTGACAATTGTGTTCACGAACTCGGCGGCCTTTCGACGTTAGTACCTTGTGTGTTGGAGATGGTGTCGGATGTCCCAAGGTCGAAGTCCCACAATAATGGTTCATATGGTGCGGCCTCAATCGAGATCTTTTTTTTTTTTTGTGTAAAAATTAAGGTTTTCACCTTTTGGAGGAGAGAGACAAATCGAAGAGAGGGTGCTCCAACTCAAGTAAAAAGGGCATAACGAGAAATTTGACAAATATCTAACGTGTCTGACCGTGCACTAAGCCAATTTTTTTTTGAGGAAATTGCACCCTATACAAGCAATATCATAAATTATTACATAAATGAAACTCATATGTAAGTATTAGCAAATATACAAAACTTGACATAATTAATTGCAAATTTACCAGATTTATAAAAAATGATTAATTTAAAGATACAATTAATATTCAACGTAATTAAAGGTTTCTCTCTCTCTTCCCTCTCTCTTCTTCTCCTTCTTCTCTCTTGCTCTCTCTGTTTTTTTTTCTCTGGATCGGTCGAAGACGGTGATATCACTGAATCTTTCAACCAATAAAACCCTTCTAAACAATTCTTATTTCTCTACTCACTGTGGCTTTTCACACCCCTCCTTCAAATTCAACATACAAATACCTTACTACACATATTTTTATACTGCTACACAAGAATGATTAAGTCTTTGGGCGTCTTTTTGATTATCTTTCCGGCTAACACGATGTCGCTGGCAAGGTTATCTCCTACGGCCGTCAGGCTTGCCCCACGCGCACGGTGACGATCGTGGTCGGCGAAGCAATCGATACGAAGATTTTCAGGGGCCGATGAAGGTGATTTTCAGCGGTCGGCGGAGCAAGCCCGACGTTGTGGTAGTTGGTGAAGAAGGGCCGTCGGGTGGATTTTGTGGTTAGGTTTTAGTTGAGATGAGGACTAAACCAAACGGTATATATGTTGTATATATGTAGTATATATGTAGTATATTTATACTTTTTTTTTTTGTTATTTGCGTAGTTGCAGGTATATGTTATGTATATGTTTTGTATATTTCAGATCCTGTCTTTTTTTGTAGATTTTTTTTTTTTCGATCTATAGAGTATATTTGTTGTATATTTTCTGTATATATGTTGTATATTAATCCGAACCTATTTTTGTTTTTTATACATTACATAACACGAATGTCTTATTTTTGTTTTGTATACATCACATATCGTATATTTTACAGAATTATTTTTTGATCATGGAAGAAATAATGTCGCTCAAGATTTTTCTTTGGTATTTTTGTTTGGAAGATGATGACGTTATGTTTTTCTCTCTCTTAAGAAGCGGATGAGTTGCTTAAATTAAGGGCATCAGTTATCTTTTACTAGGTAACTGATATCTTATGCATATATGCAAATATTTTGTCTTATAACTGCTATATATGCAATAAAAAGTCTCTCAGTCACAAATCTGCCATATTATGTCTATCGGGTAGGATAGATGTAAATTAGCCTCTTTTTTTTTTTGTTGATTTAAACATTGAACTGTAAGTTTTGTATTGAAATTGGACCGATTACGTTTTTTTGGGCCGTAAAGTTGGGCTCAACCATAACTACATTTAACATATTGTTGCAAGATAAATATCAACATCAATGCCCCTCTCTCCCTCTCCTTTACTTTTTTTGTTCTCTCTCTCTCTCAATTACCTCAAACTTCCAACATAATATTAACTTAGTTTTCTCGTCTAGCCAACAAAAAAACAAACTAAAAATAAAAGTTTTATTTTCATTTTTAAATATTATTTCAAAATTGCACTAATGTCTTATAAAAGGTAATATAATTATTATATATATACACACACATTATGATGGTTGAATAGAAAACCATAAAAAAATTAATTTATGTATCATACATAAAAAATCACAACAAATATGATTAACTTTTCAAATACATTTATAGTTAAATTACATGTTATAATCATAAAAGTCTTGCTAGACATGAATAACAATTCAAATTCACATGAACTTGTAAAAAAACACAAAATTTTGACACACATAACTACAAAACACCAAACCATGGACATAAAATTATAAAATATCATAAAGTAATACAAAAGCCAACAACTAAAACACTTACCATATTAATAAAATTATATTAGTGTTATTTAATAAACAAAAGGAACTAAACTTTACTATGACTTTTATTTTCCATCGCACAAGAACAATTTATTGTGTACCTTTTATTAAATTGAATTTTTTTATCATTTAATTTTACATATTTTATTAAAAAAAGGAATTTAAAAAAAAAAAAATGGAAGACGTGAAGGATGCCTAAAAGCAACACGTACATACAAACTCTGAAGACCAGATTCCAATTCCCTTAAGCCAAACAAGTCGCTAGATGTCATGATGCGACTTCATAACAAGGAGAATTAAAAGTCGGGTTTTCTTATTCTTTTGTTCGTCTGTGTTAACTTCCCAAGCGGGGCGGAATCCGCTACTTCGCGTCCCGTTGTAGTTTTTCCCCTAAAATCTCACAGATCAATGAAATCCTCGTCCCTCGCTCCCCCATTTTCAAGATCCGAAGCCCAGTTAACGAAAAGTTGAAAACTTTGGACGATAAAACTGCTTTAATTCTGATTTTTAACCAGTCCCTTTAAAACTTTTGAGATCCATCCATCACCCTCAGCCATTTTTGCTCCCTCCTTGAAATTTTGTAGTGAAAAAATCTTGAAAACCCCAATTTTATTGGGTTGTTCTTGCAGTGATTTTTTTTCAGTTTTTCGCTGTATAATCTTGAACCCTTAACTCCATTGCGTTTTCAAGATAACCCATCGTTGTGAGATCGAAGATGCGGATTATCAGTCCGCCGCTTGTCTTTCTGTTCACGCTTATCTCGTTTTTCGCGCCTGGGTCCTTCTCTATTGAAAATTTTCGTCAAGCGTGAGTTCCCTTTTGCTTATTTTTTGAAGTTGCAGTTAATGTACATTCGGTTTGCTGATATGGGTTTTGTCTCTCAATTGTTAGTGGTGCGTAATTGGCCCACATAGAGCAATAAATGTCCCCACTTGTGGAAGTTCTTGATTTCTTTTGAATCTGCACTTTCATTTATCGTTTGTTGTTATGATTGTTTGGCGTATTATGATGTTGTGAATGTTGATGACATCGTTTGAGATATGTTTTTATGTAGCAGTTTGTTTGTATGCTTTCCTGCAACTAGCATTTTAGCGTCCTTATAAAAATTAGTTCTGTATCTTATTGGATTTGTTAAAGCTTAGTACAATATCGTGTTTAGTACTAATTTAGTTTGTTCTCCGAAATGTGCTCGTAAGGAGTTGCGTTTATGCAATTATAACAAAGACCTTTACGGGTTTGGGAATGAAAATGGAGTTTTTGCCTGTAAATAAATTTTATTACTTATGTTGCATTGGGCTGTTTTATTGGAACTATACATTTGAGTTCATGGCCGTGCTTAATATTCTTAGGTTACTTGAACAAATGTAAGTGCCGAGCCCCATTTACATTCAAGAGCTCACCTTATATCTTTATCTATATCCTTAAAATTTGTTTTTTCCTTTTTTAGGTTTCCTATTATAGAACCAGCTCCTGGCCACACAAAACTTCGCCTTTCCAGAGAAGGCTTGGAGGCAATCGAGAAAATCACCACCCCTATAGCAGCTGTTGCTGTAAGCAGTTGATTGATAGTTGTCATGCTATATGTTATATATTTATATTATTTTATTTTTCTGCAAGGAGAATCTATTTTCTCACCTTTTTAGTTTCTTGTCTACTTAGTTATAGATTTTTGTCTACTTAATTATAGCTTTTTGTCTATTTATTGATGTATTTCCAGGTTATTGGTCCATATCGTTCTGGAAAATCATTTCTTCTTAATCAGCTTTTGTCACTGTCATGTTATGAAGGTATACACAGCATAGCATTAGCATTTTTTTTTAATGGAAAATCATTTCTTTTACATATCCTTCAATTCGTGATTTTGAAGACAATACTTTGCAGGGTTTGGTGTTGGGCACTTGCGCGATACTAAGACTAAAGGTTTATGCTAGATTATTTTATTTTTTATTTTTAATAAAAAAAAGATGGCATATGGTTAATGAGAGACACTTGAAATATTCTAAAATTATGAATTTGTTATGTTAGGAATATGGGTGTGGGGAACTCCAATCGAATTGGACATTGATGGTGTTAAAACTTCAGTTTTTTATCTCGATACAGAAGGATTTGAAAGTGTTGGGAAGTCAAATGTATATGATGACCGGTACTTTACCAGTCTTCTAATTTGTTACTAATAGTAACCTATATTTTATTATTGCTGTATGTGGATTGACCGTTTTCTTTTTAAATTGCTCCTTTTGCAGCATTTTTGCCCTGGCAACTGTGATGAGCTCTGTGCTTATATATAATCTGCCTGAGACGGTTTGTTCTTTTAGTTCTGAAAATCATCTCTAAATGAAAGACTATGAAGTTTCTATTATTATGATATTTTCACCTCTAATTCATTTTGTCACGGAATTAGTTAGTTGTGCAATTCTTGATGTGTGTCAGAAAAGTTGATTGATTTTGGAGTTCAATGTTTAAAACAATTTTCAAATGTTGCTTGATTCTTAGATACGCGAAGCAGATATATCTCGATTATCATTCGCAGTGGAGCTTGCTGAAGAATTCTATGGAAGGTTCGTAGTAACATGCTAATTATAAAGGTTACTCGTTCAACACATATTCCTATGTTTTCAAAATGCATTTTGACATAAGTGTTATCTTCTGATGCTCTCTTTTTATTATTGTGTATGCTTCTTGGTCGCATGCGATGGACAGAGTCAAGGTAATTATACCCTTTCTCAGAATCTCCAAAAAAAAAAATAAAAAACAATATGTCACATGCCCTATTTTTCCCATCTGAAAGGAAAAACGATAAAAATTAGCTCAAAGTTGAGTTTTATTTATTTATTTATTTATTTTTTATTTGGCATGCAGGGGCAAGATGTGGCTTTTGAACCCGCAAAGTTATTATGGCTAATTCAGCGTGATTTTCTACGTAAGTATCATGAATATTCTATTGAAAACAATTAGGCACACTCTTAAATAAATTGTTCATACTCTATTGGTGAGTTGCTATTCATAATCTTTTGCTTTTCCTTGTTTCAATTTATCTGTTGTGCAAAGTTTGATGCAATATTTGTTGGCAATTTCCAGAAGGAAAGTCGGTGCAAGAAATGGTTGATGAGTCTCTCAGACGAGTCCCTAATGCCAATGGTTAGTTACCTCAAACTGCATGCAATCTTTGACAATTAACTCTTTGATTAATCACAAACTTAACTGGGGGCGTTATGTATTTGGTGCAGGGGATAAGAATATTGATCAGGTATATTTTAACCTTATATTTGAAAGTGAATTGTTATTATGCTATTCTAAAACTTGCATCTTGTGATTTTGATCATTGCTTTCAGGTTAATCAGATTCGGGAATCTTTGGCTATAATGGGGGACAATAGCACTGCCTTTAGCTTACCTCAGGTTTGTATTCATTTTACTTTATTTTATTTTTTAATTTCAAATGTTCGTTATGCTAATGTGCCCGAAAGGAAGTCTTAAATGTGATTTTCAGTGTTTATGTGAATAAGGTGGTTTTAAAGTTTAGTTTAATCCTTCTCTCTGTTCATTGGCAATATGTGGGACTGAATTTTTTTGTTTCGGATATACTTTTTAATAATTAACATCATAAATGTCTTGAAATTGATATAATTAACATAATTAATTAGCACAATTTGCATTTCTCTATTTACAGCCCCATCTTCAACGCACGAAGCTGTGTGACATGAATGACACTGAACTCGATCCTTTATACGTTAAGAGGAGAGATCAGTTAAAAGCAGTTGTTTCATCTATCATCCGACCTAAAATTGTTCAGGGTAAATCTCTCAACGGCAAGGAATTTGTATCTTTTTTGGAGCAGGTGCAATTTTCTTTATCCATTCTTCTTCGTGTAATCCTAAATTTTGTGTTGAAACTTTCTTAGAATCTTGTTAATTACTTGGTGAAATATTATTTTCTTTAAAAAAAACATTATGCAATGTCAATTCATCAGGTTTGTTGATTAGATATTTTTTCTTTCTTCCAGATTTTGGAGGCCTTAAACAAAGGGGAGATTCCATCTACAGGTTCCCTTGTTGAGGTCTTCAATAAGGGCATTCTTGACCGTTGTCTGAAACTGTATAGTGACCATATGGGTAAATTGGGTTTGCCGATATCCGAGAATACTCTACAGCAAGCACATGAAGGTTCTAAAGAAGCTGCCATGTCAGCTTTTGACGAGCAACATTTTGGCCGTCACCATGCAAAGCTATCAGCTGAAAAGTTAGTTGAAGAAATCGAAACGGTAAGATATAGAAGATTTTAAGAAACTTACAAATATATATATATATATTTTTTCAGAAATTTACTTACTTACTATGTGCTTATTCGTGAGGTCCGTGAAGGTATACAAGAACTTTGTTCTGGCTAATGAGTACCAATCTTCAAAGCTTTGTGAGGGTCTTTTTACTAGCTGTGAGGAGAAAATGGATCAACTCCAAGTCCTCAGACTTCCTTCTATGGCCAAATTCAATGCCGGATTCCTTCAGTGCAACCAGAGTTTTGAAAAACAATGCGTTGGACCCTCCAAAAGTAATTACGAGATGCGGATGATGAAGGTTACTTGGCTTCTCTATATTAGTTAATAATTTAGTAAAATGGCACAATATATAATGCTCCACTATAGTTCTTCTCTATTAACTAACCTAAGGACATGCTTGTATATAAATATATCCGCTCAACTTTTGTTAACAAGTGGTGTGGTTAGATGTTAGTGGGATTTTGAATTTATATTAAAATAATATTTAAAATAAAGTAATTGAAATTGATTTGGCGTAAAAGTAGGAGACAGATGATGTAAAGTGATGGTTAGTAAAATTATGTGAGTTGATGAATAGTGAATTAAAGTTGATATGATGTGTGGGAATAATTGATTGATATTATTTTGATAATATTGATAGTAAGATAGAGTTAAAGTTGAGTTAGATTTTGAGTATATTAAGTATGTATTTGAGTTATTTTATATACAAACATACCCTTACTTCCTTCAGAACTTTCTGTTAATTTTTCCGTTACTATAAAAAGCTGGTTGATGATTCCCATAACTTTTTTCGCATTAATAAAAAAATGCAGATGTTGGGGAGATCAAAATCTCTGTTCATAAAAGAGTACAATCACAGGCTATTCAATTGGTTGGTGGGCTTCTCTCTTGTGATGGTAGTGATGGGCCGGTTTATTTTAAAGTTCTTTCTAGTCGAGATTGGAGCTTGGATACTATTTATATTCTTGGAGACGTATACACGAATGTTTTGGTCTTCCGAATCTCTTTATTACAACCCCGTGTGGCATGCTATTGTCGGGACTTGGGAAGCCGTGGTGTACAGCCCCGTTCTTGATTTGGACAGGTAAGAAAATCAATACATCCTTAAAATATTCAAACCTTAAGGAGAGTTTCCGAACCTTTTTTTATTAGTGTTGTAATTGAACGGAACGAGCCGAGCTTGAGCGTTTCGAGCTCGTGTTCGTTCAATTACTTGTCGAGCAAACAATCGTGTTCGAGCTCGTTCGATTAGCTGTTCGTCAAAGTTCGAGTTCGTTCGTGTTCGAATAATTTAGAACATCTTTAAATATGTTTGATGAATAAAAATATTTTTATTTTTCAGATTTTTTTATTAAAAATATCATGTAAATATATAAAATTAAAATAAAATATATTAAATTAACGTCCGCGAACATTATCGAACATCCGCGAACGAGCTCGTGGTTGTTCAATTATTAAAGGATCCCAATTTTCCGTTCGAACTCGGCTCCATTAACAAATGAATGAGCTTTTGTTTGCGGAAGTTCGGTTCCTTAACAACCCTACTTTCTTTTTTTATTTTTTATTATGAACGGTTAGGATGTTGTGAAACACCGTGATTAGTTTTTCTGTGTGTGTACGTGTGTGCATGCATTTACTTGTAATTGTGGAAGATAAAACTTCCCTTTTTGTAATAATACAAACTTTTTAAGGCTCGTGTAAAACTTCACGACAGATGGGCTATCCCTCTTGGTGTAGTAGCCGGGATTTTAGTGCTCTACTGGCGGTGTTATGGGCGGAGAAAACGTGGGTCCCGCTGGATTTTACCACTCTACAGCAGCAATCAGAAAGACGAAAGAAGATCTGATTGATTGACTGATCAGAAGAGTTTTTTCTCGGGTCAAATTCTCAGGTGCTTCTCGTTTTTTTTTTTTTTTTAAATATACAACGGTTGGTATCTATTCATGGTTCTCATACAACATATATATGCCATTTAACAACCTCCAAGTTTTTTGGAGAACGGTCTCAAGAGATTAGAGAGTGAGATGATGTGTCGTGCCGTGAAATTGTATAGACCGTGTCAATGCAAAAAATGGGCAGAATTGTATGTTGCGTTTTGTTATGCTTTGTTGTGTACCATAGGTGCTCGATATTGTCGTGACCTAGACAAAGACGGTGATGGTTTTTGTCGAAATAATGAAAAAATGAGGAAAATTGTTCGGAGGAGTGAGGAGAATTAAAAAGAACCTCAAGTTTAGTGAGTCTTTCTTTCTTTCTTGTGTCTTTTCAAATGAGCAAGTTTAGCAAATGTGATTGTGTTTGATGTGGTGAGTTATTTGTGTACCAAAAATGCAAGTGTTGATAGATCGGTATTACTATGTATGCTCTTCAAGAAAATGAAGAGAAAGGGAACAAAATATTTCATTTTCTTTTGTCGAAAATCGTGGACATACTAAAATGTGCTCACTATACACGTGTCTAGATCTTGTGATTGTTGAATAATACATGCACCGTGTATGATATGTTTATTTCGGCTTGGTCGACAAAGGTTTGAGTATCATGAGCTCAGCTCGACTCGGCTCAACTTGTTAAACTCGTTAACAAACATCTATCAATAGCACCAACAAAAATGGTATTTACATTGTTTGCCCAACCATGAACCTTTCTTACACCCATTTCAACTATAAAATAATGTTATATGTACAAAAATTACGTATACAACCATTTACATCAATATATTCAATAGAATTTCTTGACTAAATTGGGCATCAATATATTTTTATTCTACTTTAGAATCGAGGAATATATAAGCATAATTCTATTTATATATCGTACATTTAATAGAACTTTATGTTAATATATTATTTAATATCATAGAGCTCGCCATTAATTTTAGGGTAAATAATTTTTTTCAACATGTATTATACGTGTTTTTGAGATTTTCAACCTAAAATATATGTTCATGTAAAATGCAACCTGAATTACATATACACGTTCGACCACATTTTGACCATACACGTGTTTTTTTTTTTTTTTTTGTGGATGATCGGATAGTCAAAAGATAGCCGAGCGTGAAAATATTTGTATATATGTAGTTCATGTTACATTTTACTAAAAGAATATTTTAGATTGAAAATCTCAAAAACATGTGTAGTACATGTTGGAAAAAATTATTTACCCTTAATATTATGGATGCAAATGTAACATATTATTCTTATATATTGAATTGTCACGCAAGTAATATAATTGATAATATATGTAAATGATGGAGCAAATGTTAATATTGAAAGAAGATGCGAGGTCCAATCGTAATACGCTTGGTGATATCTGTAACTTAAATTTGACTATTAATTATTATTTCGATGAAGAATAAAAATTGTAATTATCCTAAACCATCGAGATGGTTTTCGAATTTTCCAAAAACCCGAGTGCGTAAATGCAAATATTCTTTTCATTTGCAATATTTTTTATTTTCTTTTGTTTTATTTATTTTTTGTTCATTATTTCAGTTCTCAAATCTCGACCTCCATACGATCCGAACTGAATATCATCATCTCCAGAAGGTGAGATCGTTAATCTCCCAAATTTTGAGATGTTTATGAAAATCAATTCAATTTTAGGTTAACTTTTTCGTTTCAGTAGATTTAATTTGATTAGCGTATCGATTTTCATGATAATTAGCAGGTTATCTGTTCTTGGAGTTCATATCATCAATGGCGAACAAACCACAGATCCGCACAACCAGCACAGCCCTCATAGCCATGATTGCTGACGAGGTCTGTATTTAAGTATTTTCGTCGTATTTGCCCCTCAAATTTTTTTTTTTTTTTCTCGCTTTAACTTTAATCGTTATTATGTATTTTTGTGGGTTTTTTTAATTGATTATAGTTTAAATCAAGTTATTTTTAGGAGGGATCAGGTACATGGTTGATTATGGTTTGAATTCTGTAGCGAGAGAATAAATATGTGTACCTTCTTGAAAAAAAAAAAAAAAGTTTCTAAAGATGCAGAAAATGCATTTTTCAATATGAATGTGATTAGTGGAAAATCTTGTTTACTGCTGAATGATTACCTTGATATGAAGTTTTTTTGTCGTGGCGTTCCCCAATTTTTTCTCGTTTTATCTTTAACCGTTTGTTATATATTTTTGGTGTTTTTCCACTGATTTTATAGTTAAATCAGGTTTTTATTAGGAGGGATCATGTAGATGCTTGATTCTAGGTTGAATTATGTAGAGAGAGCGTAAATCTGTGTCCCTTTTTTGGAAAAAAAAAAAAAAGTTCCCAAAAGATGCAGAAAATGCATTCTTCGATATGAATGTGATTAGTGGGAAATTTTGTTTGCTGCTGAATGATTACCTTGATATGAAGTCAGTAATGTGATTATAGTAAAATCAAGTTCTTATTTTTGTCGCTTCATCTTTAATAGTTACTATATATTTTTGTTGTTTTTCCACTGATTATAGTAAAATCAAGTTCTTATTAGAAGGGATCATCAGTAGATGCTTGATTCTAGGTTGAATTATGTAGACAGAGCGCCAATTTGTGTTCGTTTTTTTTTTAAAATAAAAAAATAAAGAAAAGTTCTCAAAAGATGCAGAAAAGCATTTATCTATATGAATATGTGACTAGGTGGGAAGTCTCATTTGCAGCTCACTGATTACCTTGATATGAAGTCAGTAATAATAGTTTGCATTCAAAGGCTTTACATCTCTGGCACATGGTGTATTTTCACTAACGATGCACATGTTTCGTGTAGGACACTATCACTGGATTTTTGCTAGCTGGTGTTGGTAATGTTGATTTGAGGAGGAAAACGAATTACCTCATTGTGGACTCAAGTAATGCTGCCCCTATTTTTTTCTTGATTACTGATTAGTGTAATTTCTCGATTTTCAACTTATATGTTAATGTTATTGGAACAAAATGTTGAAAAAATCACATTTTCTATGCTACAGACAGGAAACAGTGTGTAGTACTGGAAATGATTTGAAAAAAATTTGGAGACTTAACACCGTGAAGTAGAGATTTGTAGAACACAAAAACTATGATCATGATATTTGATAATTTGGTTGTGATCTTGCTTCTAAAATTTAATTAATAGTAATTTGCATATATGCTTATTAAATGCACTCTAGTCATTTTGAATACAATTGAGATCCAAAGATCTTAACAAACGTGATTCAACAGCTCTCATTGAATGTATGTATTATTGAAAATCTTTGGGATAAATTCCCTGCTTTTCCGTGTAGAAACAACGGTGAAGCAGATTGAAGATGCATTCAAAGAATTCACAACAAGAGAAGACATTGCTGTGGTGCTAATCAGCCAATTTGTAAGTTTTCAGCTTTTCATTGTGAGCTCCTTTTTTTTTTCATCATAGGTTAAGTACCAAAATTGCCCACGAGGCTTTGTCCAAGTACATACAAGCCGAATTATTTTTCAAAACTACATGGACTCCCTCCAATATTGCTGGATAGATAATAAAAAAAATCGAATGGGCTGGTTTTTGCTGTTCTGGAATATGACACAATTTGTTCTGAAATCATTAACTATTGCATCGTTTGTTTGATTCAGGTTGCAAACATGATAAGGTTTATTGTCGACAGCTATAACAAGCCAATCCCTGCAATCTTGGAGATTCCATCAAAGGACCATCCTTATGATCCAGCGCACGATTCTGTTCTTTCGAGGGTGAAGTATCTCTTCTCTACCGAATCAGTAGCTTCCGGAAGGCGTTGAGAGATTGTCAAGAGTGCACGTTTTCGTACCTTCTTTTTTTCATGATCCTTTGGCTTTTGGGACTTCACATACAAATCAATGATATATTTTTTTTCAGCTTACTGTAATTGAAGGACGAGTAATGTGTGTATTCTCAAATAAGTTGTATTGGTATGAATTTCAAGGCTGAAACTGTAATATGCTCATCAGACTTCTCATTATATTTGTACTAATTATTATTCATTAAAATGAAATGTTCCTAAATATTAGATGTTTTTTTTTTTAATATTTTATATATTAGTACCGTTTCAGAAAAATATAAAAATAAAAAATTGTATTTACATATTTCCCACGAAATTTATCCACTTCATAATTTTTGTTTATTCAAACTTGAGAGGAGTCTAATGACCTCTACCCAGGCATTGTTGCTGCTCTTGGGCAAAACACAGATTCCACAACATATAATCTGATCCAACGACGCCGTTTTTTTAACTAACCCAACATTCGGAGACTAACTTCGCCGGAGAACAATGCTAGGCATTTCGCACGGCAAACTTTTCCTCCTTTTGGGCGCCACCACCGCCCTCATTAATACTCCTTTTCTGTCTCTAAAATATGCGTGCTTCCTGCTAATGAGCGGCGTTACATTTATGCCAAAATCTGTTAATCGGAAAATACGATCGTAAATTATAGGGCCTAAGGATCTTCCGGTTATCGCTAGAACAGCTGGGTGGTTAGCTGGGCGATTGATTTGATATGTTCGGGTGGCGCGTGGCCAATTCGAAAGCGTCATGCAACAATCTCAAGCTCACCACTGAATTTCTCATGCTGCAATGTTCACCACCCTTGTTTTGAATGTATGGCCGGTTCTTATACAAAATTTGATTTGTATAATTAAGAAATGGATGAAAACGTGATAGGTTCATAAAGAGTTGCAAGACACGGTGGCTCAATTAGAAGCCATACGTCATGAAATTCGATCGATTTCATTCGTGAATCCTGGTCCGTTGACAACAAGGCTAGTCGATAACATAGCTCGCCAACCACCCGTTAGAAATGGTATCTGCTTCTGTTCACATTTTATTATTTGTATTTCTTTTAAAACAGAACTCCTCCTTTCGACACTGATTTGTCTCAAGTTTCATGATTGCGTTATAGTGGTTCAATGGATATTTGAAAGCTCCTGAAGGTCTTGCAGCGAAAATTGAGATCAAAGAGATCAGTAGCACGGCCAAGGTAACAAAGGAATTATGAAATACCAAAATACGAGTTTCAATATCATA